TATGTGCCTGAAAACCAGGCAGCCCTGGGTTTTACGTGACAAACTGTTTCAGCAGCTCACTAATTTCTAGCCTGTCTGCTGGAGGGTAATCAGTGCAATTCCCAGGAAATCCATGAAGGTTTTAATGAGCCATGACATGTTGAGTGCACAGTCAGCGTGAAGCAGTGCAGTGTGAGGAAGCTTTTGGCAAAGGCTGATGCTCATAGATGCTGAGGAGCCAGCTGCTAATCCTGACACTTGCCCAGGGAACTCAAATATTGGGAACTCTGTACCACCCTGCTTCATCTCTTTCACTGTACAGGTGTTGTATCCATAATCTACCTGTGATAAATGAGTTTCCCCTACTGGCTGGTTTAGCATATTCTGTGTAGGTGTTTCTGCTACAACACTCTGGTTCTTTATTAGAAGACAGGGTAGTCCCTAATTTTGCCAAAATTCAGTTTTTCCAAAAGTCTCTGGTCTTTAATGGTGTCTGTCTCATTGTTTTCTGGGTTTGTGAATCAAAGCCTTCACTTAGCTAAAGTAATTGTGACTTTTTGTTTATGCTCCCTCTTGCGGTTTTGTAAGTAGCATCAAATCTGAATCTGTTCTTTTGAGATTTAGAGCTACATTTTTATACTGAACTGAGAGATATTTAGGAAGTGAAGCTACATGCTGATGAACCAGGTCCATAGAAATCTGGCAGATTCATCCCACAGACAAACATAGATAACAAAACTGGAGAGAGAGACCAAGGAAATTATATTAATTTTGGATTTCAGCATCCTAAATAATACTTATAGTAAATAACCATTAATAATTATTAAAATTACTTAAATTTAAATATTATTAAAATACTTAAAATATAATAAAATTATAAAACTATAAAAATATTATAACATAATAATTAATAATTTAATACTTCCTTACTGGGAGCAACTTCATTTTTAATTTGGTTGTCTAATGTTTTGAATGGCCATGCTCAAACTTTAAAGAACTTACTTTATTCCATTCTAACATGCAAGTATCATATTCTTAAAAGATCAAAAACAAGAAAATTTAGTAAAGTGAAGCTAACTCTTTCAGTCAGATAAACACCTCTTCAAATCCAAATTGCAGCACTTGGACTCCATAATCCAAACAAGAGGGAATGGAAAATCAAGCAAAATTTATAACAGGAAGGATGCCTTTTATTAGGTCAACTAATGTAGCTAAAAATAAGAAACAGGCATACTTTTGTGTACACGAACACTGACATGCACAGAGATGAAACTAGATTTGATTTTTGTTAAACACCAATGCATGTATTAAAATGAAGAGGGAAAAGGGACAGCTACTGGCAGATGGCCTGGATTTTTAAAATTCTTTTTGCTGAAGTATTGCTAGTATCATGGGTGAAGAGACTTCCCCATGGCACTCTTTGAATTGCCTGGATTCTTTAGCAGTCATTTCTGTCAATTGAAAACTTGCTGAGTAGTAGCTAAGGATTTTGGGGAAATGAGTGCTGGGGAATGATGTAGTGAGCACTGTGATGAAGATAGCCCAGCAACATGAGGCGGTGGCTTTCAGGAGGCTCCTCCCTTCCTGCTCCCCTTAAACCACACACAATAACACATCCTAGGTGGTCGAGGAGACTTTGCCTGGAAGTACAAAGTGCCTGAATTGCACATGTGATTGTTACACTGGGATAAAAGCTGGAGTCGGGACGGGGGCAGATCCCACTGCTTCAGTATTTGTACTTTTTGAAAAGCCAATTTGGCAAGCAGCATAACAAGAGCCTAACAAGTGGATGGACATATGGGGAGGCAAGATAATAGTGCATGAGGAAGAGGGTGCAGATGTGAGCTGCAGCAGGGGCGTAGCTCCATATGGCACGCTGCTGACCTTCGGTTGGTGCCTGAATGGCCGAGCGCGGCGCGGAGCCCAGCCAGCAGGGCTGGCCCCACACACATCATCTGCCTCCAGAGCACAATAACACAGCTTCCACAGCTGGGGTGCCTGGCATCATCCTGGTATTGCTGCACCTTGCAGCTCTGACACCTTCCCTGAAAAGCTTGGTGTGTTCCATGCTTCTGGAAAAATATATACCATTACCACTACTAACGTGGTGGTGGCTCCTTAATCCCTGTTAATCCTCTGTGCAGGAAGAGCAGAGATAAGTGTGCAGGGTACTTAATTTCTGTCTGTGTTCCCAGGGTTTAAAAGCCTTTATATGCCTTTGGAAAGGAAATTACTTAATTCTTTCAAGCAGAGAATATTAAAAATCCTGTGGTTAGCATGTTTATTTGAGAAACATAGTGGATTTTTTTTTTTTTTTTATAAACTAACCCCAGAGGGATGTGCATGTTAGGTAGAAAAACAGAGGCACTCTGTTATAAGGAGACTGTGATGTGTGGAGGGCTTAATTCTTCAACCTAGAAATCCTTTGACAAAATACACTTGATAAGTCCAAACTATCACTTATGATTTATTGTCATTTGTTCTTCCCTTTCCCTTTTCAGCTGTTAATCCTGACACTGGCTTAGAGTTTGGCCCCATTTTATCAATGGCTGCTTGAAGTGCTCAGGAGGATTTGCTCCAGTATTCAGCAGAAGTCTTTGATATATGAGATTGCAGGCTAACACTGATAATCTTTTGTGAGGAAGTGTCACAATACATACATCGATCATCCAGGCCTCTGTCTGTCAGACTCTCCCAACCCAACCGTATTTTTCATGACACAATGCAGCGCATGGCCTTTAAATTACCCATCTGTCTGACAAATCAGTGAGTATGGCAGAAACTGGCAGCAGTTTGACGTCGCCTATCACTTTAACTGAAGTGAAAGTAATGCAAACAGATTTATGGGATCCCCTTTGATTATAGACTATGAATATATTTGGAATTGATGTTTGTGAGAGAGACACAGCAGAGGGGCAGGAAAGGCTTGTAGGCAAAAGCACTAGTGTTGGGTTTGCAGCTTTGCATTTACTATGAAGGAGATTGTTCTGCCCTAAATTTTTCCCTGCCCATGTGGTGCATTTCATCTGAGCACCTCTGACCTTTTTTCTGTTTAGTTTTTTTTTTCTTTCATCCTGACTGATTATTTAGCTGCTCTAAATTCATAACTTTATAAATATCAAGGCTGAGTTTTCTAAAATATTAAATTTTAGAAATTTAATATTTAGCTGTTAAATATATCTGCAACATTCATTGCATGTCAGTAAATACTGCTGAATTTCCAAGTGGACTCTGAATACAGTGGAGCACAGCAGAAAGCAAATAGCTAGAAAGGATGGCTGCTTGCTGCAATGCTGGTGAGGACTTGAGTTCTGTGGTGGAATAGAGCAAAGCATTGGCTTGGCTTTTTTGATCCAATGGTGTCTTTGCAGAAGTAACCAAGACCTTGGCTTTTGCCTCCATGCAAATGCTCTCGCCCCAGTATAGTATTGCCATGAACCTGGTTCATAACCAAAGTCTGGGAGAGAATTTTATCCTACTCATTGACACTGTTGTTTAAGTGTAGTGGTGAATTGTGATGGTGAAAGCTGGGACAGAGTCCTGCTGAGTGTGTCTCATGTGCAGGCAACAACATGTCCATTCAAACAACTTGTGTCTGCAGCTGAGCTCTGGAAGCCCAGAGCCATTCAGTCCAAGTAAGTGGTAGGGTGGTACCCTTTGGGTTTTAGTACATTTGTAAAATCATTTTCTGAGCTCTGGAGCTTACACAAGCTTCTTTTGAAACACTGTTTTCCTTTCTTCATAGAAGCCATAGATAAGTGATTCCCCTCTCTCTAAAGAAATAGTTTTCATGAACAAAGGTGCAGACATTGGAAGTCACTCAAAAAAACAGTTGAGGTTCTGCGGTGATGGCTTTTGCCTCATTTCCTGAGGAAACTGTGATTTGTGAGTTTGCCACAGAAACTCAGCTCATTCTCAAAACACCTTCAGAGTTTTCTCGTGCCAGGCAGCACTGAGCCAAGAGAATCAGTGACTGATGTGGGTTTTTGTATTCTTGCTGCCATAGCTATTGGTGGCTGGGGATGATCATGATCTACAGCTGCTTTGAGATAAGTTTTCTATATTTGGAATCCTTCCCCAGATTTGCTCAGGGGATGTTGTTATAACCTCAAGCTGAATTTAGTTTGTTGATTCCAGCATGCAGCCTATCTAAGGTGCCTCACTGAGGTTGCCATGTTGCTTTTGCATTACCTGGGAGCCTCTGGCTGCTTCCCACAGGAGAGGCTAGGTGGTCTTTGGGGTCTCTGTCTTTCTTTCTTCCTGTCAGGAACTTGGATAGTGGGAACCTATGCAAAGCTTTATTTTGGCTAAAGGAACCCTGATATATTTGCATTTAGCTCCTAGTTGACTAGGGCATCCTCAGTGCTTGCTTTTTTTTCAAATCCAAGCTACTCCTATTTAAACATTTCCACACACAGTGCTCCCATAAGGTCCTGCCTGTCTGCATCCCACATCCATCCTGAAAGCACACTCATTGGAGAGCCCTCTGTGCAAGTCCCACACCTTGTTGGTGTTTCTGCAGTTCCACACTGCAGCACAGAAGACACATATACTATCCCAGTGTAATGTTCAAAGCACAGACATCAGCCAGGCTAGGATCACTTTGAAAATGAGAGCTATGGATTGTCTTTGCTAATGTTGTTGCTCTGGTATAATCCTGTACAAGATTTTTCGACCACAGCTTTGCAGTCAGGAATCCCACCAAGGCAGGCATGATTTGGGTGGAGCTGTCACTTTGGGCATGTTCTGCTCTAGTGGCACAGCAGAGAGCACATGTGAACACAGTCCCAATGTGGTCTCTTTTGGTTTAAGCCAGTCCTAGGCTATTATCTACAGGCAGTAGCTCTGAAAATCAAGTGAAGTACGAACTTTAATACAGCGTAGTTTGAATGTAATTTCTAGGACCAAGAGAATGATACTGGATGAACTGTAGCCTGACCTCTCTGCTTATAGTACCTTTGACTAACTACTGATGAGTCAAAATACCTACTTTTTAATCATGAATTTTTCTTCACCTCTAGGGAAGATGCATAAACTTCACCCGTGTGAAGTCAGATGGGACCTCTGCCCCTTACAGCCCACCGCCGAAGCTGCCCTTGCGCGACAACGCTCCCCTCAACAACGCTCCAAGGAGCCCTTCCTCTCCTGTGTCTCTGCAGCCTCCTTCCAGGCAGCCACCTCCTGGGCCACCTCCATCCCGAGCCCCTCCTGGACCTCCTCCTTCACGCCCACCCCCGCAGCCCATGGCTTAGAGTGCAGCAAAACCTGATCGACACAACACGTCTCTTTGCTGAACACAGCATATTTATTGAGTATTGGTTTACAGTTAAAGATAACAGAATTTGTTGCTGGTCAGCAAAAAGAAAAAAAAAAGAAAAAGGGAAAAAAATATTGCCAAGTGTCAATTTTAGTGTATGAATATATTTATACCACACGTGCTGAGTAAACATTCAGTGGAAAGATTCAGAGCTATGGGGTATAGAAACAAACCAAAATGATCATCTAGATACAGTAGCAGCTTTTCTGTGTATACTTTTGGAGTGTATTTAGCTAGGACAGTTGTCTGACTTGGTGTGTCAGATCATTCATTAATAACTTTAGCCGGTACTCGTGCATCAGTGGCTTCGATAGCTGCCGCCTACAAGTTGGTTCAACATAGCTCATTGAGGAATTTGCTTTTTTTTTTCCCAACAGTACTGCATCCAGATGTTAATATGGATCAACAGTTTCAAAGATAACTTTCTGCCTTTGGTTCTGCAGGTGGAATTTCCATGGAAGTTTTAAGGGGTCTATAACAGTCATGAGATAACATAAGACTATGTGCCAATAATCTAGCTCAATAATCTATCATAGAAGAGGGATATATTTTTTCCCCTAGAAAAATCAGTTTTGAGCCTGCTATCTCTGAATACGTTTAGACGTGGTTGCATAGGACAACCACTGAAAGTGAGATACTTCATCTAGAAATCCAGATTTTGTATAAGACTTGAGTGCATATTTGTCCAAAGTTCAGAGGAATTTTGAGAAAGCTAAATACCAATTGACTTGGTGTTTAGCTTTCATTTATAGAAAGTGTAGTCCAAAAGGAAGCAAACATACATGGAATTTGAGCACAGATGCTGTAGTAAGCAAACAGAATGTGTTATTTATATCAGCAGCATTGAGGGACTGATTCTATTGCTATTTGATTGGATAAATTTCCTTTTGATCTTACTGCCTAGAAGAATTCGATCCTTTTGTGATTAAAACATAAATTCCTCTTTAAGTAGCTATTTCTTTAGACAGTTCAGATCCCACTAATATGTAACCCTGCAGTCTACCTGTGGCTGAGAGGCATGGTGTGAAGAGTGAGCATGAGCTTTTATCCCTGTTTTACATGCTTGGCTGCTCTCCCATGCCCTCAATTTGGGTGTCACCAGAAGGGGATGTGAGCGCCCACACAGGGGTGGGAATTTCTGACGCGGGACTGGGGGCCAGCCCATTATTAGTGTTCACTGAGCAATATCTGAGTGGGTTGTGCCCAGAGCATTCCCTAGTGAATCAAAATAACACCTGAGCTTGCTTTTTCTCCACCACTACCTATTGTATTGGAGAGGGAACCTATGCTGGTCTGCTTTGGCACTGGCTGTGTTTTTAGGATAGTTGTAGAAATAATGATACTGCATTATGTTGCATTATGACACAGCATATACCTATTTCTCCATCTGTGTGTGGGTGTGTAACACATCACAGGAGTTATTGGCACATAAGTCTAGGATAAAACACTAACTGTATTGTGCAGTTGCTCCAGATTTAAGACCTTTTCATGCAGTTGTTACAGGCATATAAAGTTGTACTGGCACAAACAGAAATCAAGCTTAATGTTTCCAGTGGAAGGCCCACTTGCAGAATACCACCAAGCTCTCATCAGTCTATGCTGATCACTGTGACATGCCGTATGTATGCAGCTGAGGCTGTCAAACATGACTCAGAAGAACCACAGAGCCTCTTTCTCCTCTTGCACTGCTCTGCTCTCTTGAGCTTAGCTCTTACCTCATGTATATTGGTGCAGGTAGTGGAATCATGGTTGTGAGTGCCAGCTGGCCTTGGAGCTGTTCCTAATTTAGGCCAGAGCCAGCAAAGCATTTCTGCATGTGTTAAAATATCCTGCAGGTCAAGAGAAACTTCCTTATGCCCAAGTGCTTTGCTGACTTGTGACTTCATTGTGATCAGAAAGGAGAATTGGGATGCACTCAACCCTATCCTCATTCTTTTTAGACACTTGAATAGGGTCTGCATAATTTGGTTCATGAGAATGGATTTCTGTTTGGAGGGGAAAGAAGAGTATGTGTGTGTGTGTGTGTGTGTGTGCGTGCCTGTGCTTGTGTATGGGAACTGTGCAGGGTTTTGTTTGGTTTCTCTTGCTTTACAAAAATTGCTTGAGAGTTGCACTCCTATGAATAGAAAGGCCTTTTGCAGCCAGTGTAACACACAGAGTCATCACCTATCTCTGTTTCTTTCAGCTGAAAGGTGAAACTAAAGCAGTTCTATTTTCCACTGCAGTTCTGGTGAAACTCTGGTCTTACCCCAGTGAAAGGAAGTGGCTGACTGCAGTGAGAGGGCAGGAGGAAGTTTGGGGAAGGTGCTTCACAAACAGAGATCATTGATGGGCATTATACTGGTAATGTGGAAACCCTACAATAGCCTTGCTGGGTCTAAGACCATTTGTAATGTGTATGTACAGTGAACCTAACAGCTTCTCACATTGGTTGTGTGAGAATAATTATCCAGCAAATGCCAACTAGAAATTGAAATGGCAGAGGACGATAAAACTGATACCCATGCCAGGAAAAGCAGGGCATTAGAGCTTTAACTTCTTGTGGGGCTGCAACAGACCACTGCTCTGTAGATGCCAAGTCTCTTATCAGCAGGCAGCAGTGAGATTGAAGCAGTGACTTGGTGGGTCAAGAGTTAACTTTAGCTAATGACAAAGCCTGGGAGCCAGATTTTGTCTTGTGTTGCACCTGTAGAGATCTTGGGAGAGGCGAGTCGAGTTGGCGATTTGCCCTCATGTCAATGTTGGTGGAATGTGACTCCTTGCCAGTGACAGTGGAGCTGTTGGCTCAGGCAGGGCTTCTCACAGTCACACATCCAACATGCCTCTTGTTTGCAGTTGAGGAGATGATTGGTCTTTGCTGGAATACACAGACTTACAAAGATAACACATGCTAACAATTCTGCACAACTTGCAAGTGCAGCAGCTTAGGCTTTGCCAAATCCCAGGTGAATGGCTTCATGTATGATGAAGTGGGAACACCACCATGGATTTGAGAATTAGATTTGGCATAAATGGAATTTCCTGAATTCTCACTGTAAAAAATTAAGCATTTGGTGTGTAACTCAAGTTTTGGCTGCAACCTCTGTGACAGGAGCACTGCAGGTTTAATTTGCTGGTAAAGCAGAAAGGGAAAGTGAACTTTTTTTGCGTTAAACTGAATTTTCTTTGCAAAGGTGGGAGTAGTGAATATGCTGCACTGGCTACAGAAAGGCCTTTTGGTTGTACAGAAATGTACCCATTTGCAGTGATCTCAGGCACTGTAACAGCACAGTAAGAGAAAGTAGTTGTTATTTTATCATCTATTGAGCTTGATCGTTACCTGGTATAAATCAAAATAGACCAACTGAAATCAAGGCAGTAATATTAGTGTCCATCAGCTGAGAAATGTCTGGAAATATAGGAAGGGACAAAGTGCCTCAAATGGGCCTGTTGTTTCAATGTTTGTTTTGGCATTCTTGTATATGCCAATTGTGATTACAGTTGTTACGCTGCTAAGAAATGTTCTCATGTGGGAATGATTCCCATGTATTTTCCAGTGTATAGCACCATTTGACACTTGCAAAAAAAGTGAATATCTAATTCTTCCCAAAATCCTAGAGGAAAATGTGGATTCAGGAGACCTTGGTCTCACACTTAGTACAGATGTGAAATGACACAAGGTGCAAAGCAGTGGGGAGGGAAATTCAGTGTGTTTAAACCTGATACAGAACCACATTGATCAAAGCATATTTGTGCAGTTGCTCAAGCTCAGTGCATGTGTTGCCATCTGTGGGAGTAGCCTGCAGAGCAGACGGTCCTAAATAGAAAAAGGAGAAAAAAGGAAAAAGAATCAGCTTCTCATGTGAAAGAGCAAGCATAACAATGAATGACATTATTTCATGAACTGTACCAGTTCAAATGCATGTGCACCTGGTGCTCGTAATGCTTTTTAGTCCTGTTGGTCTTCAGACAACACGATCAGTAATACGCTTTCTCTCTTTAATCACTTGCAGTTTTTATTGTTGTTACTTTGGGTTTTTTTGTGGTTTGTTTGGTTTTTTTGGTTTTTTTTAAAGAAAAATTTCACTGAGAAAACAGCCCTACTTCTGTAAATATAGAGTTTAATTTGGAGGAGACAGCACACTTCTGGATGTTACTGCTGGACAGTTATTTATTAAAAGGGACTCAAGGTGAATAAATAGAGGTGGCTCAGGATCCATGCATGCGAGTGTGATAATGCAGTATAGCATTTTCAGTTCTCTGTAGTTTTGGGGCAAGGGGAATTTTTGGGTCATCCTAGTTTTTTTAGAAGTTTGTTACTGATATACCTTTGAATAATGCAATAGAGATTCCTATCATATAACATTGCTTGAACAAATGTGTAGATTACAATAGATTTTTTTTTTTTATTTGGGAGATGAGGAGAAGGGTTGTGAGGGATAAATGTTTTAGGAAATGTTTTAGTTTTTATGGGGGGAAATGTACTGTACTCAATTTTTTCAGTTTTTGTTTGTTTAGGAAGATATAGTGTTTTCAGAAACAGTGGGGAGTGTGGGCTGATCAACAGCTGGGGCATGGAGATGTAGGACAGAGGAAGCAGTAAGATATTTGAGGGATAAAGAAGCTTTACATGGGGGTGTGGGTTTGTTACTGGTACATGTGGTACAAATTTCTGTAACTGATATGCTGCTTCCATGTTATAATCATGTAACTTCATGCATTTTAGGCACGTGCTCTGTTTTTCTGAGAAAACCTTGCAAATGTAATGCCTGCATGCAAATGTGGGAGATGTAGCCAAAATCTTGTAATCCAACATAATGTAGTCTTAATGGCTTCAGAATCAACAATAAAAGTGCTTACTGGTTAAACACTATAAAGAATTTTATTGCAGGGTGATTTTAAGAGGTGATAAGCTTCTCTGTATCTTCTTTCTGATCAGCTCAGCTCAGGTCAGAAGAATGTGGAGTTGGGCTGTCACAATTACCACCCTTGACTTGCTTCTAACTTCATTAGAGACAAGAGTATGTTCTGTGCCCCAGTTTCATGTCTCTAGGCTGAGAATTTCGATCTTTGTCTAATTCAAAGGTAAGCCATTGTTTTTTGAAACCAGCTAGAAATGTTGAGTAAATTGAACTGGGCTCAGTTCAGACTTTTATAAGCACATGGGGCAGAGCCTGAAATAATTGCTGCTATCTTAAAGAGGAGTCATGGAACACACAGACATAAAGTAAAATCCATCCAAGACAAAATGCCAGAGCTCCAGACTTTAACAATGAGAAATTCCATGGGAAATCCTACACTTCTGAAACCCCTGGAGTCACCAGGCTTCAGACAGAACTACAGATTTTCAGTCCTCCCTGCTTCTAATGTTTCTTCTGTATCTGTTCCAGCCCCACTGAGGACTGGAGGCAGAGGGCTGGTGGACATAAGGCAGGAAAAAAATTCAACAGGGGTAGGCCACAAAAATCTCCAGCCAAGCAGGCTGCAATTATGGGCAGTCAGGGCTGCTGCAAAGCTGCTGAGCTGTGGTGTGCACTCAGTGTGCCCAGCATGGCAGCCACAGCCCTGTGTGCCAGGGGAAAGGAAGCTGGTCTTTGCACACACACAATCCCCTGAGCCTCATCTGCAGAAAACGCTGCGCACCCAATTTTGGGGCTCTGGTCCACGTGGACTCATTGCAGCAAAGCAGGTGGGAGCTGCCTGGTGCGCTCTGGGCAGCTCCAGCGGGCTGTGCTGCTAATGGGAATTGAAATCCTCAGCCTGGAGCTGAGCTGCTGCCTCATGGAGGCAGGGCTATGACAAAGAGCCTGGCTTGCTCTCACCCTGCGCCCCAAGCTGGCAAGACAATAGTCACCCAGTGTGGTTTTGTGGCCTTCGCTCTGTTTTGTTCTTCCATCTGCTTCTTACTCAGAAAGCAGGCTTGGGCTCTTGGAGGAGATCAGATAAACAAAAGTGCTCCTGCAGCCAAGGCTCTGGGCATTTTTACTCTGCATTAACAAAACCCCTACATTGGCTGCAGCTGTGGCTGCTTAGGTTTACGCATGCCTGAGACAACAAAATTCAGATTTGACCTGAACTTTCCCAGAGACTGGGAATGTGCAGATCCAGGTCTTTAGTTATAGAATTTTCTATAAATAGCCTCTAGTGCTGATTTAGAATCTTTCATCAAATGTCCTTCACAGTCTCAGGAGTGGCATTTATATGTTCACATACACCAATCTCTGTGCCCTATCTGTGTGCATGAAAAGTCAGCAACAAGAATTTTTTTGGCTTCAGCAACTTGAGCCAGGAATGGAAAAAATGCTCTTTTCCCCTCTTCTCTCATTCCTTGAGAAACCACAGGCAGAGCATGTTGCCCATGCTGGAAGCTGTCTGGTCTTTGCTCTGTGAATGTGCTTTGCCCTTTGGGATGGGACTCATCTCAAGTTTCATGTTTCTGTGACAAATTTCCCCTTTTCCTGCACATCAGAGCACCTTCCTTTTCACTGCACAGGAGGCTGCACTGGAGTTTCCTGGCCAAGAACATCACTGATTTCTGGCTGCAGCTCAGACTGTGAGGTTATGTATGATATGAAAATGTTCTCTAAAAGAAAGCTTTCCTGCTGGAAGCTTTTGACTGTGACATAGATTGAGAAATGTTTCCTTTTAAGCTTTCAGAAATGCATGATTGCATGGGTCAGTACTTCACTGAAGGTCCTTAGATAAGCCCATCTGTGTCTCAGCCACAGGTCACTCACTGAGGTGAGCTCTCCTCATAGCAGCCTCTCCCTGCCATGGAGCAGCTGCCTTGCCCTTCATCCACACTGATGTCCTGCATCTTGCTGAGCCTCTGGGCCACGATTCTGGAGCTCAGGCTGTCTGATTCTTCAGGGTAGAAATAGGAGCCCTGCAGAACCACCCTAGGTCCTGTGACCCAGAACACCTCACACCTAGAATGTACACTTTTCCCTCTGATGGCAGAGGGACAAGATTGAGAGCATGTTTTCCCAGTGAGCACAGGAACACAGCTGCCAAGCCATAGCCATGCAATAAACACCCATGTGTTTGCCACAGGGTACCAAATACAGCAACTCTTGCCTTACTGATTGTGCCTCAGGCACTCTTAGGGTAAAATACTTAGTGCCCTCAAATGTTTTCTAGTTTCTGGTTTTTTCAGTACATAGAAAGATGTTTTGAGGTGGAAACAGGAGTCTCAAGATTCCCCTTCATCATCAAAGACATATTTGGCCAATCAAAGCCAACAGAAAAATATGGCAAGCATATGTGGCAGCTCAATCTCTTCAGAAACACAACTGTTCCTGCTTTGTGCCTCTCTTTCCTTTTGCATCAAGAATATCTTCGGTATCAGTGAATGTGCCTAGGGGGAGAGGTTGGTCCTAGTTCAGCTTTTATTGTTGTTATTATTTTTGCGGTTTTTTGGTTTTTTCCTGGATTTCTGGTGCACCTCTGTAAGGTATGTTTGGATCACCAGTGATAAACGGAGTTCAACACATCAGTGAGGCTGTTGTTTCCAACGCGGAAATGCTGCAGTGCCCTCAGCAGCCAGTGCCTTCAGAAGGCAGGTAAAAACCCTTGAAAGCCATCGTCACAATAGCAGACTTGGCTCTGCTATAGCTCACCAGGAAACTCCAGCTCCAGGAGTGCAAACAGCCTGTACCTGGGACAGCAGGAGTGAGTGTCCTGTCTGCCAGGACAGTGAGAGAGACCCTGGTGGGGTCTGTCTCTTCCCAGGCTAGTGGTTATGATTAGGGACTACTTGTGCCTTGAAGCACTTTTCTCTATGGAAAAAAGCGAGCTGGGAGAAACTGTAACTCTGCAGGCTCTGGAATTTCCCAGCTCTGTTTCTGCCAATATTAATCATTTGTATTGCTTAAGTAACTCACAAATGAAAATGTGAAATATCTCCCAGGAGTGGCATTTATATGTTCCCTGGGTTCC